TTGACGATTCTGGATCAATATTCAACTTATTGTTACGGACTGTTGGAGCTAAATATAAGCCCAAAGATCTTCCAAACCTTTCTCTTCAACTTTCATTGTATCCAGGAACTTTTCTCAACACACAGTATTTTTTGAGCATAAAATTTTNATCTCTGTCTTTTTGGTCCATCATGATTAGCCATGGATCTTGTTCTTCTTTAGTAATAAAATATTCGTCTGGAAGATTGTAGCTTTCTTCATTGGTTTGAGGAGGTAATTATAGAGCTCTAAAATTCATTATATGATCTTTGTTTCCAACTAATCTGGCTCGCACAAATAACAGTTATTTTCTTGTCTGTTTTCTTTCAAACCTTTCACTTGCTTAGGAGTTAAGATAAATCTATTTCTAATTGATCTCACTAAAGTCAGCACGCTTTTTGCCTAGTGTTTGGATGAGATAAAACGTCTCTTTAATTCAGGAACGACATTTATTGGCATGATTTGGGTTTTGCAAAAATCCATTCGATTAAAGGTTCAAATAACTCCATATGTAAATTGATATTTTCAATTTTCTGTATTTTTTAATCAATTGCAATTCTTCGCCTGTCAATTTTAAAGATGAACCAGAATTTTTGTCCAATAGGCTTGTCCAACATTCAAGCAAATCAATTGAATGGAGTAGCTGATTCAGTGCAGAAGCTTAAGAAAATCTCATAATTAGTTTTGCAATAATAGGGTTTAACTATGATGTATTTCGTCATATGTTGATAAAATCATGTTGCCAAAAAAATTGAAATTTTGTGCCCATAATGTGAAGCAGTCGGATATCTACATTCGCCGCCTGTCGGTCCCTCGGTATCTGTTACCGGTCTGCTCCCGTAAAGCTTTTAGATCTAACCCAGTTCGCTACAACACAATATACTACCGAATAAGTCTATCACTCGAATGAAATAAAAAACCCAGAAATTAAATTTACTTCCCGAAAATTGATANAATAGCAAACAAATACATGCTGAAGTATTAAAAATTTCATTAAAACCTAATGAAAATTAGATAAACGGAAGAAAAAATGAAAGAGCAGAGAAAGCATTGAAGTAATGCTCATTCTCAACATCAAACGTTAAGAATTCCATNCCAAAATTAATGTTTGATTAAGTATTATATTTCCGGTCATTTATGATGATCAACATCATTCAGTGGTTGATTATAATGCAGTGATTTTTTAAAATTTTTTGTGAATTTAGTTTGGAAAAAGTTTGGGATCATAGAAAAATTGGTCAAGTTTGCATGCGTTAGTTAGCTCTTGCTGATAGATTTCTGAAATCACGACATGCAAGGGTTCGAATATTAAAACTATTTCGTTATCAGTTAGCNAAGCTGAAATTGTTAATATTATTGCTTTCAATATTAGGAAGTATCAATGACTCGGGCAAATCAGAATGTTTGGATTGCCATTTTCTTATTTAATTTAACATAGTTATGATATTTGATTGATGATATTAAACCAATTAAGTTGTCTTCAAGCGCTGATCTTATGTCATCTTTTCTTCCAGAAAATTTTAAGCTAATCGATATGTCATCGTTGCTTTCAAGAAAAGCCTTTTTATTGTTGCTATTATTATCAAAAAAGTTAGTTGAATCCTGAGTGGAGGAAGAATTTGAAGATTTTGGATTGTAATATTTTCAGACATTTACATCGATTAGGTCAATAAATTTTTATCCAGAGAAAATAAAAGTAAAGGAGAATTTAACCTTTCATTTAAAATTTCCACAGAGTATGTGTCAATGTTAATAAGTATGTCGCAATATTTCTTTTTTGTAGTGTTATCTAGTAGCAAACAATTTGAACTTCTAACCACATAAATTTTCAAATTTTTANTGGTTAGATCAATTGATTGCTGTAGAAAAACATAGGGATTAAAGATACCGTCAAATTCAAACAATTGTAAAAGTAGACCAAAAAATTTCAAAAGAGTTTTACGGTCAGAAGTTTTCAAAGTGTTTGATTTTTTTCAGATAAATTTCATTGAAA